GAACAGATGCAAACCTGTCTCTGTAAGGTGTTTCCTGAGGTGACTTGGAACAATCTGCCTTGGGTCGCACAGATATAGCCAGCTGTATTTTAGAAGCTGATAACAGGAGACCAATGATGATTCGGGACAGGTGAACACTGTAGACGAAGCCAAGATTGTTCATAACTTCATAGCTATTTTTAATTCTGAAAGGGGGAAGGGAGAAAGAGTCATGTTCTCATTTTCATCCATTCAAAGGGGGCTTCAAAAAGCTGGTGGAAAGATTGTCTTCTCATTCCATTTTCCCATGAACTTTTTGAAGCCCTCCCTTCAGCGCAAGGATTCTCAAGGACTTGCATGTTAGCATCAGACGTGAGGAGCACTTGTGGAGAACACTGCCTGGTTTTCTGCTGCCATCTGTAAAGGGGAAACAGCGGCACCTGATTTGAATCAAGATAATGAGGTCATCAGCTAGCTTCGATCCAGCTAAGATATTAGAAATGCCAGCTTTATTACTCGGCGGGGCGGGGAGATAGGAAGTTTTCTCTCCCCAGAACATTGTCAGTTTGTTAAGTTCTTGAAAATATGAGGAGGTAGATGGATAGTATACGCCTGCGTGCGCAATACCCAGGGTGGGTTGGGGGACGAGCAAGCATTTGGCTTGTTGACCCTGGACTGCGCTGACCCTGGTGCTGCAGGTGAGGTGTGGCTGCGCATCTGCTGCTCCAGGACAGGCAGACTGGAAGAATGCACAATACCCAAGAGAAGCTAAGCCGGTTTCTGGGCCGGTGATAAACTGGGAATCCATGAAGAGAGCTGCGCTAATGTGCAGCTCTGTCATTGTCTGTGCCGTGTGGATGTACACATTTGATAGGGTTTTAAAGGGCAATGAGCAGAAGGGCCTCCCTTGAGACCAGTGAGCCAGAGCTTTCAGTCCAGGTCCGAGGGGCAACATTCAACCAGCCCCACTACCGATGGAGGGGAGGAGAGAAGACTGTGAAGTCATTGGGGAGAGGCAACACATTTGAGATTCATTAACCCAAACCATAACTAAAAGCCTAAAAAACACCCGCTTTTTCTTTTCTTTTTTTGGCGCAATTTCTAAAATAGGAGTTGTTGTTTGTTTTTAATAGAAGCATCTAGGCTTCCAGGGTGGTACAACTAATCTTTTTCTAATCTCTTTAAAGATCTTTTTTCTGCCTGTTGCCTTAAGGTCCAGGTGCTTTTTCAAAGGGCTGTGCACAATTATTTATCTAGAGCCCCTTCCTGAAAGAAAATGACTCTTAGTACGGTCCCCGAATGGAGCAAACAGTTTCTACTTGGAGGCCAGCTGAAAGGCTAGCAATTCAAACCCATGGAAGAAAGGCCTGGCATTCAGCTTCCTTAAAGAGTACAGCCAAGAAAACCCTCTAGACCAGTTGTTCTCAACCTGTGGGTCGCGACTGCTTTGGGGTTGCCTGATTCATAAAGTAGCAAAATTACCGTTATGAAGTAGCAACAAAAATAATTTTATGGTTGGGGCGCCACCACCACACAAGAAACTATTAAAGGGCCACGGCATTAGGAAGGTTGAGAACCACTGCTCTAAACCCAGTCTAGTCTGTAATACTCGGGGACTGGTTGGCCTGTGTTGAAATGGATTCAACAGCACTGGATTTGAATGTTGATCATGAAGAGAAGGGAGAACGTTACCTAGGCATCGACAAACCCTTGGAATAGCTAGCAAGGACCCTCAGTCCCTGCTCCCTCGCCTGACCCCAGAGCTGTGCCTTCAAAGCAGATGGCCAACCTCATGCTCTGAATTGGATCTGTAGGGCTGTAGACAGACGGTTAGCCTAACAACAAATCCATGTTTGCTTCTTAATGCTGATATAAAGTGGACTACTTCCATGAAAATTGTGGCAGGTCAACTGTATACGTGGACACTGCCTTTCCTTAAACACAAAACTTCCATTCCGAGGGCAGGACCTATGTGGAATCCGGTTTATAGTCCGTCATTTTTGAGCATGTCGTACGTCCACCTGAATAATGCCAGGTGACTGTAATGCACATTGCACACATAGGAAACTCACATGCGAAGGGGCTGCATGATTTGCAAAAAAAACAAAAACATCATGCCCACTTGGCGTGAAAATACGGTGCACTGTGTTGCCTTAAACTCTTGGCTCAAAGGGAATTTTAATTACTCATCAGGCCGCCGAATTCTACTAATTACCCTGGTCCGCACATTCCATTGATTGCTGATTAGTGAACGAGCTGCATCCTTCGGGTTGGAGCGTGATCCCCGTTGATGGTTACTTTCAAAGCCTGTCATTTCTCTTGACATGGGAGGAGGGGCCTACTCTCCAGGAATGCTGTTCCCGTGAGCAACATTGAACTAGAGTTTCCGGCTTTTCCTTTATTTAGAATTGCCGATCGATTCCTGAGCCTGGCCAGTTGATGTTTACTGCTGTAACTGTTCAGACACACCCGTCATCCTTGCTTGTGTGGGCCTTTGGGACCTAGACCAGGCCAGCTGAAGTAGCCTCCTGAGGCACAAGGAAACTGGCCGGCCCCCTATGGTTGTCCCCCGCACCTGGGTATTGCACCTGCAACGCAGGGGGCCACACAGCTGACCTTTTGATGATGTGGGCGGGACGGGCAGGCTTTCACCCAAGCACCCGTGGGCTTGCTCAGATTGTACGGAGGTGCACCGGTGGGCATGCACTTCGCCTTCCCTGCCCTGCTTTCTGAGTGCCTCCTCTGGTCGGTCAAGCAAGGAGACTGCCAGCTCTGAATGGCGTTCTTCTCTGAAACACACCGTGCCTCCTCGCCAGGGAGGCCCCTCCCTGCCCACGGTCCTCTGCTGTCCCGCCCTCAGCCTGCCCAGTGTTCCCAGCGCCAGTCCACCAGTGGGGGCAGTGCTCGTACGAGGAGGCTTCAAAAGGTGTGCGGAAACATTTACTTGTCTGTTCGTTGTCTACAAATTGTTAGACGCCCCCTTGTACTCGTGGGCGCTCAGCAATATTCTCTCCCTTGGCATGTGGCAGCCCTTGTCTCTGCAGCTGGGTGCTGGCCATGCCCCACGGTCCGTCCACCCCTACCACCCCAGGCCAACTTCCCCCTTTGAACTCGCTTTCTAACTGGGTTTTCCCCCTTGGTTCCAACTCTTTCACTGACGGGGTGAATGCTTTTTCTGTCTCCAGTCGCTACAAACTGCAGGCCCAGCATGCTATCACTTCTCCCTGGCTCCCCCCGACCTCACACACGCACACGCACACACCGCGTGCGCGCACAGTGGGAGCACTGAAGGTACACCCCAGGTTGGCCGGGTTAAGGTGGACAAAATAAGAAAAAGTCCCCCTGAAGCAGCAGCGCCCGACAGCATGAAATGTTTCTGATCTTGACAGACTGCCAGCATTTCTCTTTTCTAATTCCTGTTCATGGTGATAACATTCTCCTCTCTGTGATTTTAAAACAAAACTAGTGTAGCACTCTGAAACAATTGCAGTTCTAACTGTTCCCCCCTTTCTGTTTGACAGGTTCCGCTGCTTTCTAACCGGTTGTATTCCCTTGTGTACTAGTGTCAATAAAATTGACATTTGTGAAGCAATTCCTGGCCTCTTTCTCCGGGGTTTCCTGGGTCTGGTGGTGTGGGGGCTGCGGGCTCTCCTGACTAACACTCGGCCTTCGTTCCACGGCATCTCCTTACTGAAGCATCGCTGTACTGGCCCGTCGTCGGTGGGCAGGACAGCTTCTGGTGGTTTTTCACGGCACGCTGGCCCTTCACACGGGTGGTAACACAATTGACCTGGGACTGGGGGTTTGGGGGGCGGGGCTTCTCCACAGGTTGTTCAAATCCACAACCATCACCCCATCAGGTGCATTCTGGGCCATGTGCTCTGACGTTGCAAAATGACTCTGCGTGACCCCAGTGGGGAGAGAAGACGTGTCAGGGCCACAGCGGCACCCCCAGGGGGTTACACTCACTCTTCTCCGGAGATCCTTCACGCGCTGAAACTGCATGTTGAACAATATCTAAAGTGTCTCTCTCTCTCCCTCTCCCTCCCGCCTCCCGCCCCAAACAGTACCAGACAGGACTACAAGTTACTTCGCTTCCTTTGCCTAACTAACCCTTGTAGCCGGCCTGCACTGAGGGGAACCTGTTCAGTCTAGGGAAGAGCAAAGTTGGGCCGCACTTCCTGTGTCTGACCCACCTCACCTAGCTTCAGAGGGTTGAGGTAGACAAATTGCAGCGTTACGTTGGCAAAAGCGTGTTAAGTGCCCGTCCTCTACCCCGGCCGACTCCATCACGGGTAATACCACATTTCCATGTTACTTCGTGTGTTGTCCTGCTCACAGGCGCTAGGAGCGACCTGTCCCTTTTGGACCCTAAAAGGGAATGGTGAAAATCGAATGACCCTGAGCTTTGTGATGTTAAACGATCGTTTCTTTTTGCATGTGAATGTGACGCTAGTGTTTCTGTCCCAAGCAGTGGGAGACGTGGAGTACCACCAGCAGGTATAACCAGCTCGCCTTCTGTTCTTGGTAGAAGGGGGACTTAGCTGCTTTACCTTCCCGTAGTGTGACCCCGTGTATTCTGCCGTCGTCTGTTGTTTAGACTCCTGCTAGCTAGTTCCATGTTCTAGTCTCCCCCATGTCTCCTTGTGTTGTAGACACTCTTGTCTTTCTCGAGTCATTCTTAGAAGGCCGTAGTTAGGTGATGACAATACTATTTCGGGGTGCACTGGTTTGGAGCCCGAAACTATGGTAACCGGGCTCTAGGCCAATGTCAGTACCTTATCGTTAGTTGCAGCACAGAGACTCGGCTGAGTGATTGCAACTTTGGTAGCGCTCAGAGGGGGGGGTGGGGCGAAACAAGCCCACCACCTGAAAAAGAACCCCAGCATCGTGTTGGGGGTGGGGGTAGTTCGCAGGCGTTGAGCGGGACATTCTAAAGGGAAACCAGGCCCCAGAAGGAATTACTTCTTTTTTTTTTTTTTCCTTTCTTTCTTTCTTTGAAACTTCTCATCCCCAAACAGGCTCCCTGACTGGTAGCCCTCACCTTTCAGAACTGTCTGTCAACTCCCAGGGTGGGGCCGTGCCTGCCAACGTGACCCTGTCGCCTAACCTGAGCCCCGACACCAAGCAGGCCTCTCCCTTGGTCAGCCCGCTGCTGAATGACCAGGCGTGCCCAAGGACGGACGACGAAGAGGAAGGCCGTAGAAAGGTACCGATTGGCCCTGGCAAGATGGCCGGTGACAAGGGACTTGCTTTCACTCTTTGTTTAAAGAAAAGAGGAGAAACTGGTGACTGGCCTATGCCGGATGCTGGCTGCCCGTCGCACGGATAGGCTCCAGGGAATCAAATCACAATGGTATCACCAGTGATGGCTGACAGACTGCCGGTGACCCTGCCCCCTCAGGGCTAGCTGCCATTGATAGTTCTGTGCACGGCCTGACATCCATTTCTGAAGTTCCCACGCTGACAGGGTGTTAGAGTTGCTCTTGCATGCATCTCCTGGCAGACTGTTATCACTCTGCCATGTTATGAATGAATGAGATTGTATACGTGCCCAATGGTGAATAACTAGCCTGCTGTGGTGACCAAGGTAATGTGATGGTGGTGATATTTACATGAAAGGAAACATCCCGAGACTGCGTTCTCCCCACTGAAACCCATTCTCTTCAATGGCTTGTGCATACACACACACAGGCCTTGATAATCATCAACTAATGACAAAAATAACACACTAGCGATAGGTCACTTCATTCCAACTTGCTCATAACCAGGACGTGTTCCAGAGTGAGGATGATGTGTTGCTTCTCTTTACGAATTTGCAGAGATTCCCAACTGACAAAGCCTACTTCATTGCTAAAGAAGTGTCCACCACAGAGAAGACGTATCTGAAGGACCTTGAAGTCATCACTTCGGTATGCTGAGCCTTTGCCCTCACGCGCTAGCTCTCCCATCGTTTATCTCCACCAATGCTCCCAGGCACGAGAGGGGCTGTGATAAGGAAATACTGGGCTCTCCAAAAGGGTTTGGTCCCCTGCTACAGAAATCAGACTTCTGTGCTGCATATGCGGTTTTTTAAATATATAATTAAACTTTCTCGGCATGCAAAGGAAGTCAGCTGTTAAAAAGGAGCAAACGAAAGGGGAGCATTTGCTGCCTGCAGGCCCTGAACTAACGCAGTTCCATGTCTGGCCCATTGTCTGAGGTCACCATTTCTTCTTCCTGGGGGTTTTGCCTCGAGGTGAAGAGAAGCCTCATTTCCTATTTCATAATAAAATGAGCCACGTCTGCAAAATCTGCCAGCAGAATGCCTTTTGTTATTTTAATCGGCCCTCTTGGAAAAGCATTTAGGCAATTGCAGATGTCTTTCTTACCCTTGGATTCTGGGAAGGACTGCTCCGTGGTGAGGCATGCATTGCATTTCTGTGACTGAAGAGATGTGTATAGAACAAGCCCAAGTCATTACTGTGGGCTCGGTGACCTTGCGTAGGGAGGATGGCTTTAACTGCCCGCTTTGGCCAAGGTCGGGCTCAGCTGTTTAACAAAGGAGCAGAGGTGGACTTCCTAAAGATGTGCAGCGAGGGTGTTCCATGGTTGGAATTAGGTGCAGATCCGGTGAGTTGGCAGGAATGGAGAGTTTGATTTGAGTAGTTGCCCAGTAAAGGGGTTTGTTCTGGGTCCAAAGGATGGGTTTTCATCAAAAGGAGGAAAAACAAAAAGCATGGAGCAGAACGTCAAGTTCTTCTTCTAACCCAGACTGCCTGGCCGGCTGCCGTGAGACGGAGGAGCCCCAGACTGGTACCTGGAAATAGCTTTTCAGCCTTGAACTGAAGCTGCTCCGGGAAGTCATCTTTAAATAGAACAGTGATTTTACCCCTTAAAACAAAATGTTTAACAATGTTATTGACATATAATTTATATTATACAATTCAGGGGGTTAACCATATTAAAAAGAGTTGAGCAATTATCACCTCAATCAATTTTAGAATAATGTGGCCCATTTAATATAGAATATTTAGTTTGAGCATCACGCGCTTTTAAAGAAATGATCTTTTGAGAGAGCACTTGGACAAATACCACCATCGGGTCTATGCTGACTGATAGCAACCCTACTGGGTGGGATAGAACTGTCCCTGTGGGCTTCCAAACTAATTCTCTGCAGGAGTAGAAAGCCTACTTTTTCTCCTGTGGAGTGGCTCATGGTTTCAAACTGTTGACTTTCTGGTTAGCATCCCCGTGCATACCCCACTGTGCCCGCAGGGCTCCAGTCTGAAACCAACTGTATAAAGGATGCTAGCGGGTGGTGGGTTAGGGACACAGTGCACACGAGCTGCTCATGACAGAGCGTGGCATGGTGGATGTTTTGTTGTGTCTGTTTTCAATGTATCCTGCCTTAAATAATCGGTTGGTCACAGGCAGATCAGGTCCCTCTTCTCACCTCATCGAATAGAAGGAAGACCTGGCACGCCCAGGTGCTCCTAAAAGACCCAGGTGTGCCCCCTGGAGACAGGAAGCAGCGCTGCTTCGTTAAAACGACCCCGCCCCTGCCCCTGCCTTGGTGCTCCGAGGGCACTGGGCGCAGAGTGACTTCCGAAGCGTCGAAGCGTCGTGGGCAGCCGGCGCTCACCGCCAGGGCTCTCAGTGTGTCCCTTTCCACCGCAGTGGTTCCAGAGCACAGTGCGCAGAGAGGACCCCATGCCCGAAACCCTGAAGAGCCTCATTTTCCCGAATTTTGAACCTTTGCACAAATTTCATACTAATTTTCTCAAGGAAATCGAGCAACGACTCGCCCTGTGGTAAGTACAGTGATTTTGAAGCTCCCCTCACCCCCCTCCCTTCTCTCTCTGTCTGTCGGTCTGTCTGCCTCGTGCTATTTCTTGGTTGTGCTTGAAAAGCAGCAGTTAGGACAGAAGTGACTGGCGAGACCCTGCCTTAGCAAGCCGACCTGAAAATGGCTCTTGATGGAATTGTGCGTATGTTTAGAGTGTATCATCAGTTCTTTCTTTCTTCTTTATTCGTGTATGAATCTCTGAAATGAATTCTTTTCATTGGAATTAAATAATTATGATCCTTGAGTACTTTGCACAGAAATAAAGGGAGCAAGTAAGTACCAGGGAGAGAAGAGTGAGGGCTAGGAGGGACTTTGGGGGTTGTTGGTATTTTATTGCTAGGCCTAAGCAGTGATCTCACTGATGTCTGCTTTCTGCTCACTTATGAAATCCATACATACCAAGGGGTACCCCCCAACCAGAATTTTTTTATTCAAATATATATATATACAGTGAACCCTCGCCACTTCACGCTTCTTGCTTTACCTTGGTACCTTTGTCACAAAAACAAAGCAAAACCCTAAGTCACCCGCAGTTGGTCCATCCCTGTTAACCCCCCCATTGCATTCAGTGCACGTATTTGACATTATTATCACGGAAGATGAAGGGTCTGACGTCTGTGTACCCTCCGACACCAGCTGCAGCTGCCCTGCAGCTTCCCTGGACCCTGGCCGCCGCAGAGAGTGTGGGCAGAGCTCACAAGTTCAAGGGCCTGGCCCTCAGATGCCAGCTGTGGAGCTCAACTTCCCAGGCCCCCACATTTCTGACCTGCCAGCTAAAATTTGGGAGTTCCCACTGCTCTCTTTAGGCCCATAATTTGTTAGGGTGGCTTCCAAAACTCAGGAATCGCTATACTGACTATTTCAGTTTAGGACAGCAGACAGGATACAAGCAAAGAGACCCTTGGGGCAAGATCTGAGCGGTTCCCGACACGGAGCTTCCACGCCCCAAATAGTGATGTGGTGGCATCCACCCTCACAGTGACATCTGTCAGCAACCAATCTGTGGACTTCAGTGACCAGAGTCTTTACTGGGCTTCCATTACGTCGGCACAGTGGAGGGAATCATTGCCCACATGACTGAATTCTACATCCAGCCCACCTCCCTGCAGGTGAGATTTACCAGCCGTGAATCCTAGTGGGTCTTTCTGGCCTGGCCACAGCCCCCACCCAAGAATCCATGATGAGCATCACAGATTCCAGGCACCGGGGAAATTCCAAGGGCTTACACAGTCCCTGGTTCCTGAAAGAAAGAGCAAATTCTCCTGTACGCTCTTGACTGTTCAGCCCAGAAATGGTAATAAAATTTACTCTGCAGCCCAGATCCCCCCTCAAGTTGACGGCGGCATTCGGCGATACTGGCTGTCCGTTGGCAGGGGGGATTACAGGGCAAAGAAGTAGGGCATTTTTTTTTTCTTTTAAAAAAATCATTTTATTTGGGGCTCATACAACTGTTATCCCAATCCATACACACATCAATTGTGTAAAGCGCATTTGTACATCGTTTCTCA